CACCTAAACAATAAGGTTGTAAGGGTTAAATCAAGTAACTGGGAAAGCATGGTATCTGGATCGAAAGTCTGTTAGGAAAGATTCATCCACTTGTGAGACGAACCACCCTGCAATGGTTTAAATAAGCGGAAAGTTTATTTCCATCCCAACGCATAGAAGGTAGGCTACTTAGGGCTGGAAAGGAGATCTGTGATGTTATCGGTGACCTTGGCTCTTTCTAACTCTCCAGTCTGGCATTCCCCAAGTTACCTCATGGTCCAAAATGGCTTCTGGAGCTCTAACAATCACATCCATATTCCAAGCAAGTATATGGAGAAGAAAAAATAAGTCCCTCCTTGTTTTTTGGGTTTTTTGTTTGTTTGTTTGTTTTTTATTTCTGAGAGAGAGAGAGACAGCGTGAGCAGGGGGAGGGTCAGAGAGAAAGGGAGACACAGAATCTGAAACAGGCTCCAGGCTCTGAGCTGGCAGCACAGGGCCCGACACAGGGCTCAAACCCACAAACCGTGAGATCATGACCTGAGCTGAAGTCGGCTGCTTAACCGACTGAGCCCCCCAGGCGCCCCTTTCCCTCCTTGTTAAGGAAACTTCCCAGCGTTCCTGCTTCACTTTGCCACTTACACTGCAGAGGGCAGACCCATTCATACAGAGACATCTAGTTGTAAGGAAGCTGAGTGTCTTTCACTCTAAGAAGCAATGGGTGTTCTGTTGTTAAGGAAGAAGGAGAGAACGGATAATGGGGGGCTGCACACAGTATCCAGCACAGAAAAGTTCTGAAGTCAGCCTTCTCGGATTCAAATCCCAGCCTCACCAGCTACTAGCTTTGGACAACTGACTCAGTCTGTCTGTGCCTCAGTTTTCTTATCCGGAAGGTGGCGATAGTAGTGTCACCTCCCATAGCAAGTTATTTTAGTGAACTATACTTCAGTATAAAGCAAAGCACCTGCCAAACGGTGAGTGCTCACTAAGTATAAGAGAACGAGTATTATTCCGCACGTCCGCCACAACTCTGCACCACACCCTTTGCTAACACCTGGGATTTCAAAGAAGAAAATGAGATTGGCCCACGCGATCCTCTCCCTGGCCCTGAAGTCCTTCCGTTTGAGTTATTTGATGATTTGCACGATGATGATGGAACATGGCTTCCAGAAGGCCCCTCCTCTTTCCCAAGTCCCTTGAAGGACCTCGACTTTTCCAGCTAATCAATACCGAAGTCGCAACCTGCTTGCCAACTAAGTGCACTGGAGCCTGGCCTGGAGGGGACCAGGAGATAAGAGGGATGGGTGTGGAGATGCCGGGTGTGGAGCACACGGGGCTTCCAACAAGTGGGGGCACTGAAACATGCGGGTGCCAGGCTTCCCCTGCCCGCCGTGGTCGCTTGGTTGTGGCAAACCCTGGGCAATTAGGACAAGGCGGTACGGTGGCTGCGGGGGCTCGTGGGTACTTCTCTCCCGAAGGCCAGCTGCGCGGGCCGATGTGCGCCCAGCAAGCAGGGCCCGCAACTCTGGCCCGCAGCACCGCACCTGTCCCGGCGCCTCGACGACGAGGCCTCACACCTGCGGCGGGTAGACAGCAGAACACGGGGTGGGACGGGGGCCCGCCGGGCCGGGCCGGGCTCTGCCTGGGAAGGTGTTCTCGTGTTCTTTCTCTAACGGCGAACCGAACACGGGAGGCAGGACACGGGTTTCCCGAGGAGGCCCCTGCGCGTGGCCCACACGTCTTGCTCAGTTTCATCTGTGAAGACAGTAAGGAAGTACTCTGTCACTTGGCCTTGAATTTTCTTTCTTCCTTTCTTTTCTTTCCTTCATTTCTTTCTTTCTTTTCTTCCTTCTTCCTTCCTTCCTTCCTTCTTCCTTCCTTCTTTCTTTTCTTCCTTCCTTCCTTCTTTCCTTCCTCCTTCCTTCCTTCCTTCCTTCTTTCTTTCTTTCTCAGAGAAAAAAAGCTGAAAAGTGGGAGAGAAACCTTGGCAGAGAGGATTATGTGTTGTTTTCAGAAAATGACACCCTGGGTTCTAGTGGTTTTGCTACTTATACTTACAGGTGGCCCGTGACATTTGTGTGTTAACTCCTGTGTCTGTGACAAGGGACGACACTTGAGTGTTAATTCCCGTGTCTGTGACAAGGATCTCAAGCTCAGGGGAACAGAGGAAACCTCTTGCCTCGTCCAGACTTTCAATCCTTCCATCGGCGCCAGGAAGAGGTGCACCAGCCACCAGATGCCCCAACGTGAAGAACGAAGAGAACCCAAGACTTGGAACCCATATTGCATTTGAGCGGGAAGTTATGGGGCAAACCGTGTTCGTGTCTGTCTCTGGAGGAGATACTGTAGCACCGAGAGGACACCAACGTGATCTTTACCTAAAACAAGTTTGGCACATTGTTGGCACACACCCGCTGAGAGCAGGAAGGAAGGGGAGGAATCCAGTGCAGGGTATTTGACTCACATGAGAGGGTTTTCTTAAAATCTGTCTACCTGTCTGCGCTGGTGGAGGAAATCCAATGAAGAGCCTGCGGGATGGTGCATAGAAAGCACTTTATAAACTGTGAAGTCCCTCGCAGGTGTGGCAGTTTACCCTTGGCTGGAGGTTTCACAAAGGAGGCCTGACCGGGAAACAGGCGGAGGGGTGGGGGAAGGCCTCACAGGTAGACGGAATGGGTGCTGCTGGGAGGCAGGAATGAGCACGGCCGGAGGGGGGGAGGGCGCCCCTCTCTTCCGCACACGAGGATGCTGGGGACCCAGAGGCGGGCAGCCTGTGAGAAGATGGGGTGCGGCTCGGCCTTGCAAGCTGGCGTGGGGGCCTGCGGGCCAAGGACCAGGGGGGAGGCTTTCGAGACGCAAGAGGCCACAGAGCGGCTTGCAAGATGCAAGGAGAAGCGGTGAAGAAATAGGGCAAAGGGAAGGTCCGGGCAGAGGGACCCGGGAGCCGGCGTGTTGCACCAAACCCGCACGTGATTTCCTAGACCTTGGCTACGACGGGCCCCGCAGTTGGCTCTGGGCCCCGGGGAAGCAAAACCAGCGGCAGATGGGGGGCGTCCCGGGTGACGGAGCCCCAGGGGGAAGATTCCAGTGCCAGGGCGGTGGTGGCCACGCCAGGGCGAGCCGAGGGGCCCTGCTTCCCCCGGACCCCAGGCCCCGGCGTGCGCGACCCAGGCCTCCGCGCTCTGGCTTCGGGGGGCCGGGGGGGGGGGGGG